AATTAGCAACCGCCTTCAACGAGAATCGAACCACGGACCTCTGGAATACCGGGCCAGCGTGCTACCGTTACACCACGAAGGCACGCCAGGGAAGTGGGAGAAATACCTTATAGACAGGTAGTTATTTTCTCCAATCTTCCTTCTTCAAGAATGACAGCAATCTCTTAAACATCTCTAGAAGGGTTATACCAAACACAAACTGAAGTCTAGTAAAAAAGAAACTCAAGTTAACTCATTTTTAAATGAACTTCAGGGTACTGTCTTCTTCATAGGTATTTCTTAATTTGACGTATCAGAACAGAATTAAGATCTAAATCTCATCAGCAGAAGCTATGAATCTGGCTCTATCAAGCGTGCTTTAAAATTTTATAAGTAAAAGCTTGCAGCGACCTGGTGTATTGTATAAGACATGTCTTTTTCATAGCTTATTTTCTAGATGCACTATTTCTTAACCTTTCGAAATTGCATCCTCGTTGACCATAGAGATGGCTTCCTCAGTGATTGATCTCACTCTGCAACCATTATTTATCCATTCAAAATGGCTTTTTCAAAGAAATGGGTTTCTCAATGCTTGCTCTCAGATTGTATCATTTCTTAACCATTCTACAAGAATTATTTGCTTAACCATTCAAAACATCATGCCACGACCAAAGAGGACCCGTGATCAACTTTAATTGAGAAGAAATAGTAGACACCGACCTTTACTGGTTGTATTAGTCGCTAAACATTGTCATTAATAAATCAAACAGCGTTCTCAAAAAATATTTATAATTACTAAATACGGATGGCACAAATGCACCCTATAAGGACGAACGGATGCAGTTAAAGAGCTGAAAGCTTTCAAAAGCCTGCAAGAGTTAGGAATTAAAGTACCTTCTCCTTTTAAGTACGCAAATAAAAATATAATAATAGCTTAAATTTGTAACTTAGATTCATTGTACAAATATGTTTAAGCTAACATCATATGTAACTTCTATTAAATGACTTAAAATATTCAAATTAGAATGACATGGAGAGCGCATTACTTCTACTGAAGTCCAGATTCATTGCATTCCTGGAGATTTTTTAACATGCTCTTCCAAATATTTCCATGTTTTATGAATTAGTAATACGATACTTATTTTAGGTACACTATCCGACATTCCAAATGTAACATCAGAAAGAAGTGGTCCGAAAAATATGCAAATTTCAGGGTAGACACATGTCACCGAGTTATGCGAATGATGTGAAATGCGCAGCTTTTCAGCACACATTAAAGAAAATATAAGGGGGGAGCCTGCAGAATGTTCAGTTTTAGTGCCGTTGTTACTGCTAGGGAAATAATCGTAGGAAATTTGTTCTTGTCTTAGGGGACGCGTGTAATAGCAGAGAATGCCAGGCCGTCGTCAACGGTGGTAGTTCCAGCAGACAGATGATTCTACGAGGGACGTAGTGATCGGACTGAGAAGAGCAGATTGGTGCTTATGGCAAATCTCAGCTGACACATACACCTGGACGCGTCCACAGTGCACCGGCTGTGGAGACGATGGTTCGAACAAGGAAATGTGACAAGTTCGAGGGATGCCGGTGCAGCCAGAGTGACGTCAACACACGTGGATCGACGCATCTGCCGACAAACGGGGGGCAACCGCAAGCCACTTCTATCTCCATTCTGCAGCATGTTCAAGATTCCCTGGATGTTCGTTCCTGATCCAAATCACAGCATACGCTCTTGGTCAGCATTTCTCAAACTGTGGTCCTCAAAGCCTACCCTTGGTTGTTCGCCTGGATTTCCAAAATTGTAATTTTCACACTAAATAACATTTAACATCATTTGGAGGTGAAGACATATGACTAAGTACAGTGGCATATTTTTGTGATGTATTTCTAAAGCTAAAGGAACTAAATCTCCATCTGGAAGGCAATTCTTTGACTGTTGAGAAATTAAACAGAAAAGTTAACTCGCAGGTTATGTAAAACAGGAGATTGTTCACCATTTCCAACATGAGAATCGTATTTAACAGGAAATTATACCTTTATTGGAAAAGAATTATGCAACAACGTATGTTCGCAATTGTAATCTCTGAGGTCGCAATTCGACACTCACACTGAGGCTTAAAACGGTAAGGAACACACTCTAAAAGAAAAGGTACGTATGTAAAAGGGGGAATTAAAGTATGCAAATAGGCTGAATGCAAATAGGCTACCAAAATTAGCGTAAAACGCAACCCAGCAGTCACGTCACAATGCCTTAAAAATGGCCTTTATGCGTCAGTTCGCAAGTAGCGATACTTCGTGTAATCCGAGATAGCCAAAACGGAAAGCGTGAACCGAAGACATCATTTACACGTTGAAAAGCGTTGGATGCGAGAGAGCGTGTAGTGTCATCAATAGGCTGTGGAATAGTTACCAGAGTGATAAAAACCGTACACACACACACACACACACATATATATATATATATATATATGGCTAGGTAGATATATATATATATATATATATATATATATATATATATATATATATATATATATGGCTAATGTAGATATAGCTATGGATATTATTTATAGATATATATAAGGACTGTTGTTTTCTTCATGTTTCATTTTGGTACAAATTTAATTCTAAAACTCTGTAGACAATTTTTATGAAGAAAACTATTTTTTTAACAGTATTAATTTTTAAAGTTATATTGCTTTCATTCACAGAATAAAAGATATTTTTATGAATAATGATGTTATCAAACTATGGATATTCGTTAAGAATTTCGCTAAGGATAAATTGTAATGTAATATTAAGAATTAGTTTCCTCAGTTATATTATATTAAATTTAAAATATGGGTTCTTGAGACCTGTTTAGCTGCCATGCTTTTGAAAGAAATATGTTTAGTAAAAGGAATATTTAGATATTTGTTAAAATAAAGAAATATTTAGGTAGCCTCAAGTCATGACTTCGTCACGAAAAAAGGATACCTGGGCATAGCCCTAGCCTTGTATAACATTAATAAATAAAATTCGAATCAGATAAGAACGTAGCACATGTTTTCGATTTTCCGTCAGGTAATGTGGCAGCAAAGAGACTGTTGAGGAAAGTCACATGATGGCAGAAATTCTAGAGGCTGGTGAAGACCATGGAACTTTGAACTAGGTGGAAGAAAAGAGTATCAGAATTTGCGGCTTTCAGGGCGTAGAGGGAGACTCTCAAAATTCATAGGTTTTGGAAGGAATAGATTGAAAACGAAAAAAGGGTTAGAAGGAAATTTGGTACTTTTCCGTTTCGCCGGCGCAAATCTCGCCAAGCAGACTTTATTGGCGAGAACATACAGTATACACATAAAAAATATTAAAAATTGTTAGTTCTAATATTCTTTTAAAAAAGAAGGCATAAACATTTAATATCGCTTAAAATTTTATAAAAAGCCAATAAATAAAGACAATAAATTTGTAAAAAGAACATTAATTTAAGAATTTACTATGCTTTCATGTTGAACATCCTGATTCGCCGGTTCATATCACGTGACCCCAAGCGATTCATCTCACGTAAACTACTACACAAAAATCTAATGCTCTCAGTAATTATCTACATTATTTCAGTTAAATCTAATTTGGAACACAAGTTTAAATGCAAAATTTTCATTCGTACTAATAGCTTACTCGAAATTATGTAAATTGTGCGTTACTTCGCTAATGCATTCTCATTAGAATGGATGAATTTAGCCTTGACTTTACCTTTTCTATTTTTTCGGCTTCGGTAAGCGCTGTAATTGCATCCTAATTGACTTAATACCGAAAATGGCCTTAGACATAAAATGAACTATCTGATAAAATTCATGTAATATATGCCAGTATTGAAAGAAGCAATCATCTGTAGAAAAAGCTGCGACTGTTTTGAAATTGGGGCGTAAAAGGTTACCACCGAGAATATTCCGTTTGGCATCGGTTGTACCATTATTGGCGACTTTATCGCTTGCGCCGGCAAAACGGAAAAGTACCGGAAATTTTGAAGAATAACTTATAAATTAATTACTAATGATCAAATTAATTTACATTATTGTCATTATCATTGAAATTATTTTAATTACTGATTATTGTCTTTATCGTTGATCTCCATTTGCAAGAAAATATGGAAATTATCGATTGAATTATTACAAGTATCGAGTGCTGGTATATATTTGTTGACTCCAGAAATAATAATATTAAATTAATTTTTACCAAATGCTGAGTAAAACTCATTCATAGTTTTAAATATTTCTCTAAATCCAGGAATATTTACATTATTTTCAGTACTCGCATTATTTGTTTTACTTTTTAGCACTTTCATCATGTCAGTGAAAGAAGTATTCGATTCAGAAGCAACGGAGAGCGGTGCAGACTGGTAATTTCTATACTTTTGGAGGTTACAGGTTCGAAACCTTGAAGAGTTAAGCAAAACTAATTTCGGGCCTTATGGTATTTTTCGTAGATGATTTATTTGTAGGAAATTCGGAACAACTTTCAGCACGATGAAAGAAATATAGTATAAATAGTGTATTAAATGAAGCGCGTATAATAATTATGCTAAAAGCTCAAGATTATTATTCAAAATCTATGACCATTTTCATTAAATTTTTTCTCAAAGTAAATTGATTCTTTTTGAAATATTCAGTGAAACTTTTAAAATACTTATCCTAAATATTAAATTACTTAAATGTTAATTAATTAATCTATTGATTTCATTTTACAATTTATTTTTTAATTCCGCTTTTATTCAATTTCACTTATGAGCAGATATATTTTAAATATAATAGATCGTTTGTCGACATTTTTTAATCCACGAATGTTTTTTAAACATATGACAAAGATTAAACGTGTTTGGCTCAAACTGGAGAACCGATGATAAAATTTAATCGTCATCGTATTAATTTATTTTCCTTTCCTTTCATTTTATTTATTTACGAAATAACGGAATGGCAACCTTATCTCATGAACTGTGAAAAATAATTCTCTTTATTAACTGAGCAAAAGTGAGTAGTTGAATTACTGATACATTATGGATATCAACTTCATTTACACTATGAAGAGAAAGGATTTTGGTAAACCCTGTATCTTTACCGATGTGGGGCCGAATGTAATCATCGATATCGATCCAGACCCAGGACTTCGAAAAGAATTTCAGCGTTTACGTTCTATGAATCGAGAAATCGATAATTCTGCAAAAATGGCCGCCCATGAAGTTAATACACTGTCCTATCCGACAGAGAGTAGGGGCATCTGCCATACCGAAGGAGGTTGGCCTGCTAGTGTAGACACTACCGATGAAGAAAGCATGACCAGATTTCGAAAAAAAGCGGACAAAGATAAAAGCTATGTTAATACCGTTAAAACTTTAGCCGATTTTGTTGAAAGCTATATTATGGAGAATAATTCGGTAGATATATACGAAGAATATTTCGAAGGTGAACGCATCAAGAAAGGAAAGGAAGCACCATTCAAAACATTAAATATTTTTAGAGATATCAGTACTAAACGAAGAAGCGTTATGAACATTTCTTGGTCAGCAGATCAGTCGAAATTCGCCGCCGCGTATGCTTTCGTTGGAATGGATGATTATCCCGTTGATGTAGTCACTGACTCTTACGTGTGGGACATCGAAAATTATTTAACTCCTTACTGTATACTAAAAGCAGATGTGACTTTAAATTGCATCGAATATTCGCCGTATGATTCAAATATAGTGCTTGGTGGTTATAGCAATGGGCAAATAGCTCTGTGGGATCTGCGAACTGGAGGTTATCCTCAACAACTGAGCGCGGTACATGTGAGTCACACACAAAAAGTATCTGGACTGAAATTTCTACGAACATGGAATTCGATGGATTTCTTTACTGCGTCTACCGATGGAAAAGTCATGTCTTGGAGTACTAAAAATTTGTCGTTTCCAACGTCAGAATTAGTTCTTGACCCTAGCGAAAGTGAAATAACAAATTTGGATGCAAAATATACAGTAAGCTGTGTGGAATATGATCCAACTTTACGTGATAAATTTATGTTAGGAACTGAGCAAGGAGCAGTTCTGTCTTTCAATAGGAAAGGTAATTCTAAAGCAGATTGCTTAATTGCAAAATATGATACTTCATCTGGGCCTTTGCTGAGTCTCGAGAGAAATGCTTTTTTCCCACAGATGTTTGCGTCTTGTGATGCATGGAATGTCAACGTTTGGACTGAAAGTGCCACAGATATTCCAATTTTAAGTTTAAATAGCGAAGATGGCTATTTCACTGACCTCTCATGGAGTCCAGCACGTGCTTCTTTACTTTATCTCTCGAAAACAAATGGCAAACTTGAAATTTGGGATATACCTGGCAAACATTCGCAACCTATTTCAAATCTGCAGCTTGAAAAGGAACCTTTATTTTGTGTTTGCACAGATGAACAAGGCCATCGTTTAATCTGTGGCTCTGTTTCTGGATATATTCATTTATTGCAAGTCCCAGAGTATTTTAAAACGATATCCAACATCGAAATGAATCTTGTCGAAGCAGCCGTGAAAGCTGGAGGAGAGAACACACAGGGTAAATCAAGACATGCGAGACTTCATGAAATGGAAGAAGACAAGCCAAGTGATCTAGGATTTGAATACTGGTGGGATCCACCTGAAAAAGCTGAAGATTTATATGAAGAATATAAGAATTTTTTTTAACTAATTGTTGACTTGCAATGGAGCGTGAAAATAACTTAAACAAATTTTCGTAAGCAATATCACGCCTTGTTCGAAAGCAAATTTTGTTTTGAAAATTGTGTTATTTCTTCTAGTTAGTATTACTATATTAGAATTAGAGAAGTATTTTCAAAACGTGAATGCACCAGATGTTAATGTAAAGAATAATACTTTTCCATTTATTGCAAATGATATATATACATATCAAGGTCTGAAATCGCTTTAGCAGCCAAGGATTGAAAACTTCATTTAGAATAATATATGCATTTTAATTCCTCCAGAATAAATTATGCGTTAAAAGAGCTTTAACTTCATTTTCATTGCATTAAGCCTTAAACAAATTAATTAATTTCATGCTATATATAAAATCTTGTAACTGAAATCTATTCTTCATATTCAGGATATCTGTCACATTTGTATACAAAACGAACTATTCATCTAAAAATGCCAACTGCAGAGTTATTTTGCTTTTATTCCTTTTTCCTTCTTCTATTAGTTACAAAATTACCTAAATTTTGTATAAAATTATCAACTGTTCTGTTAGTAAATGTCATTGCTAATATCTTGCTCTTTACTATGCTCTTCTTTTTCTGTCGTTTAATAATTTTTCTCATTATCTATTTGTTGTTCAATAAATTATGCAATTTAATATCCTATCAATTAAACAAGGTTGTAAGGTTCTTAAACATCCTACTTCAGACTTTAATTCTTAAGAAAATTATAATATTGTTGCGTGCGTACGGGTTCGTTATGAAATGATGCACATTCCGATGAAATGAACAAAAAATTACACACAAAAATGCTTAAATTTTCTCAAATATCAGCAGTATTACAATATCTCACATAGTTTTCTTTTAACTACCAAATGTCAATAGAACGTATTCAAACAGCTAAAGAACGCTTCGCGAATTCCGCTACAATCAAACAGTATTTTCTAAACGCAACAAACTAAGCAACTACGACACTGAGATGTTTTTCTCCTTTTATAAGATTTAAATCACGCGCTAGAATTACTCTTCTCGAATCAAAAAGAGATATTTATTTATTTAATCCACACGCTCTGTATTTTCAATTTCCGGCTTAGCTTTTCTTTTAATATTCGTCACGCGCTGCACGCGCGAGAAATAAAACATTTAATTTCTAATTGAACTAACATAGCTACACCAATAACGGGCCCCCTTCCCCGGCCGTCCCGGGCGTACAATCCCTGGACAGGAAAACTCAAACTGGCAAATGCATTAATAAGCATTACATTACAATAAAACAACTGAAATAAATGCAATACATAAAACAAATCAAATGCTATCAAATCCAAATCAAATACACATTTAAAAAACTGGACCTGTCCTTATACTTAAATATTTACATTATGTACTATGGCCATAGTACTGAGCTAACCTGTCGTAATGAACGACTTTAGGTTTAGAGTTCGAAGACTTACGAATCCGAACCACGACGTCATTCAGCTGTTTAGGACTGTACGGCCCATCCCAAGGTGACTGTAATTTCGGACAAAGTCCTTTCCGTCGAGTCGGATTCCACCCCACACCTTGTCTCCTTCGTGGAATTGATGTTCAGTAGCTCTTGTGTCGTATCGGGTCTTCATCTTCTCCGTCGCCAAGTTGACTCGCTCTCGTGCAAAATTGTGCATCACTTCAAACCGGGCCTGAGATCTTGAATATATTCCTCAGACGATGAAGGAGCATCCGGAGGGCGGCCAAACAATAGATCACAAGCAGACGAAGGTCACGACCGAAGAGCATCTGTGATGAGAATAGCCGGTAGTCTCGTGGACAGCACTGCGGTAAGCCAGTAAAAAGAGTGGAAATTTCTTGTCCCAGTCCTGTTGGTTTCTGGAAACCACTAATGAGAGGTTATTAAGGATGGTTCGATTGAACCTCTCTACCATGCCGTCCGACTGGGGATGCAATGCGTCGTTTGAGTTTTGTCAATGCCAAGTAGTTTGCATAGTTCTTTGATTACTGCCGAGGCAAAATTCCTTCCCTGATCGGAATGTAACTGAAGAGGCACTCCGAACCTGGAAATCCAGTGCTGTATCATTACCTCAGCTACTGTGACTGCCTCTTGATCAGGAATAGGATAAGCTTCAGGCCACTTGGTGAAGTAATCAATGACAACGAGTATGTATTGTTGCCATCAGCAGTTCGTGGCAGAGGTCCCAGGATGTCAAAGGCGATACGTTCAAAAGGCGCACCTACGTTGTAACGTTGCAGTCTGCCTCGGCTGCGTTTCCTCGGTCCTTTCCGACCTGCACAGGCATCGCAAGATCGGCACCACTTTTGGCACGTCATTCTTTGCATTATTCCAGTAAAAGCGCTCACGAACTCTCTGTAAGGTCTTCATAATTCCAAAGTGACCTCCTGTAGGGCTGTTATGTAGTTCTTTGAGGACATCAGGAATCCGGGATCTCGGAAGTATCATTGCCATCGGAACGTCTTCCATCATCCGACTCGAATTTCCGGTATAAGACGCCGTTTCGAATGTGACGTGAATCCCAGACTCCCCAGTATTGTTTTTGTTGTAGGACTACAGATAGAAATGTCCTGCCAGGTATGTTTTCGTTTGATGACTCTATTAAATCAAGTATGGGTTTAATGTCGCGGTCTTCCAGCTGGTCTTTCCTGACCTTCATCATCACTCCACGGGTTCTTCGATCAGCCGATGTTTGATGTTGTAATTTGTCTTGCGACCGGAGTCAGCAGCTCGTATTTCGCAACCACCCTGGAACAATATTCGGCAGCTTTCTTGTGCAAGGTCTTCTAAGGCAGGGCGTCGGCGTTCCCGTGTGATAATCCCTTACAATGACGGATAGTGATGTCATATTCTTGGAGTCTCTGTATCCCCCTGGCTATTTGACCTTCAGGATTCTTGAAATTTAAAAGCCAGGTCAATTGATGCATGGTCCGGTGCGGAGGCAGGAATTTTCTGGCCGTATAGATAAGTGATGGAAACTGTTCTACAGCTTTGACTATGGCGAGCAACTCTTTCCTGGTGACACAATAATTCCTCTCCGGTTTAGACAGGCACTTGCTCCAGTACGCCACTACACGTTCTTGGCCGTCTATTTCTTGGGACAAAACAGCACCGACACTTTCATTGCTGGCGTCGGTGTCGAGAATAAATGGTCGGTAGTGCTGAGGATACGTCAGGATTGGAGCAGATGTTAAAGCCTCATTTAAGTTGTTAAATGCATCGCCGCATTCTTTTGTCCACAAGAACTTTTGGTTGCTCTCTGTCAACTTGTGAAGGTGGTCTTGCGATGGGAAAAGTCCTTCACGATCTCCTATAGTAGGTGCAAAGCCCTAGGAATCTTCTCATCTGATGGACATTTTCGGGACGCGTCCAGATTTAAGCTGATACCTTTTCAGGATCCGTGCGCACCCTTCTGCAGATGACATGTCCCAGGTAAGGCACTTCCTTTCGAAACAATTTGCATTAGCGGGAGTCAGCTTCAGATTGGCCTCTTCAGTTTCTGAAGCACCTTTCTAAGATTTTCTAGATGCTCTTCAAAACTCTTTCCGACGATGATGATATCGTCCAGGTATATCAGACAGGCTTCGTAAGAAAGGCCTTTCAAAACAGTCTCCATAAGACGTTCGAATGTTGCCAGCGCATTACACAGTCCAAACGGCATCACTTTGAACTGCCAAGTCCTTGTCCCGTAGTAAATGCCGTCTTTTCTCGGTCATCAGGATGGATTTCTACCTGCCATACCCACTCTTTAAATCAATTGTTGAGAACCACTTGCTTCCAGAAAGAGTGTCTAGAATGTCATCACTTCTAGGAAGAGGGTAACTGTCTTTCTTCGTAACCTCATTCAACCGGCGATAGTCAACGCAAATCTTGTTGAGCCGTCTTTCTTTCTGACGAGAACGATGGGAGATGCCCATGGACTCGCTGAAGGCTCGATGACATCGCCTTCTTCCATATCTTTTAACAGTGTTCGCACCTCTTCCTGTTTAGCAAACGGTAGACGTCTTGGATGTTGCTTGATCGGGGGATGATCGCCAGTATCTAATTCTATTTGTGTCAAACTAGTTCGACCCACGTCAGAAACGAGCGGGAGAAAACAACTTGAAGATCTTTAATGACGCGATCGGCGCATTTTTTCTCTTTATCGTTTAATTGTGCATTCTGCAATAACTCCGATGTAATGCTCTCTGAGGACACGGATTCTGGGATTTACTCTTTTTTTCAACGCTGGTTACTGGAGTACAATGTTGCAACCACTTCACCTTTCTTAATAACTCTCGACTTTTCATTACATTGGCAACTCTCACTGGGATAACCGTTCTGGATAGGTCGACGAGTGTTGAGGCTACTAATACTCCTTTGGGATATTACGTTATTTGGGATATTCTATGATGCCGTAGCGGAAATTTCTATTTTCGGCTATGGATCCAGGAAGTAAAATTTCTGTTCTTGCCGTTATTGTAATATAGTCTTGTGCTATGATTTTATGGACAGATTTAACTTCTTCATCATTAACGAGAAATAACGCTATGTCCTCAGATGTAGAATGCAATTCGTTTTTTTTTAAAATCAAGGAAAAATTGTATTTCCTTAGAAAGTCCAATCCGAGTATGCAAGAATCAGTTTCTGCTACATATGCCGTGTGATGTAAGCGGCACTTCCAAACGTGATGTTAACATTTACTTTTCCGTCGATGTCGATCTTCTCACCGGACACAGTCTGGAGGGTAACGCAGGGCGGCGTCCAGATAAGTTTGTTTCCTAGTTGTTGAGCCAAATCTTTTCGGATGATGGTGACTTGGCTCCTGTATCTATAGTCATATTGCACGGAACTCCATTATGTCCTATTATGAAAAGTCCATTACTGCCGCCTCTCACTGCAGAAATCTGAAGCGCTTTAAACTGGGGCTTTTCATTATCTGGCAACCTCCGCCCCGCGAGATGGCCACTAATTAGTTTCCCTGCTGCTTTTAGAAGCGGTCTTAACATCAGTACCCTTGGGTGTTTTGCAGTTTTCGTCGTATGTGTCCTTCAGTACCGCAGTTCCAGCACTTAACGTTGGTTTCTTCTCACCAATATTCCGTCTCAAGGCGTTCAGTTGTCTAGTCAAATCGTCAAGTCGAGCGGTGACTTGATCCCCTGGCTCCTGACTTGAGCAGCTCTGACTGGGTGGCGGTCTCGACGAGTGGCTTGCTGGGCTGCCTCAAATTTCATGGCGTACACTAGAGCACTTTTTAAATCTTTTACATCCGCCATTCGTAGAGCTTTCTGTATTTCAGTATCTCGGATGCCGTCGATAAAGTATTGCAAGGACAGGATTTCCCTTGTTTCTGTCGGGCATTCCGAAAAGGCGAGATGGAAGCCTTTCACACATCCGCGGCGCTCCTGAAGTGTTTCGGTAGGCTTCTGTTGACGAGATTTTAATTGGAGCCTGCTGTAGTCTTTTAAACACTCTCCCCAAAGCGCAACTCCAAGGCGCCGGACAGAGCTTCGAAATCTACCTTTTTGTTTCGGGAAGAGTCTGAAGGATATCCGCTGCGTCGGCTCTTAGAGAAGCGGCGAGATGACAGGCCTTAGCTTGGAATCCCAT